CCTTAGCACTTTTGTACATGGCTCCCATCTGTAAACATGCATAATTTAAGGGCATGGCCATCCCTTCTACCAATGTTTCCAAGGGACTTGCCTGGACTCCACCTTTTGTTTCTGCCATCATTCCTCATTTGCTTTAAACCAAAACTAGACACAGAAGTTTGTGGATCCCTTATCTTTCAATTTTATGTTTGGCCTTCTGGGGTTCTGCTTAGTTGGACTGAAGTGTCAAAGGGGTCTCAAATGCAAGTTAACCAGGAACTCAGAAGAAAGCACCCCATTAAGGCTCTGAAACTTGTGAGTTATAAATAGCAGGGTAGGAAAAGAACATCCAGGCTGAGGGCAAGCTCCATGTCTTCTTTAGGTGCACCCCATTAAGTCTCTTTTAACATTTTAATTTCCAGTTTTACTTCCTGCTAAAAAGAGTAACACAGACACACAAATGATAATATTTTATTATAGAAAAAGCATCCCAAATATAGGATTTCATAAACACTGGTAGGTGAACAAGTATAACCTTAAAAAGTAAATATAAATTAAAGAGGCAAAACTTAAAAGCATTTTGCCTTCAGGAGAAAATATTAATGTTCTTTTGTGAGGGCAATCCCACCCAGAACACAAATGTGACTCTGTATCCTATAAGACCATCAGGTTTGCTTTCTGAGCTCACTATGCCCACTTTAATATAGTAGAACCTCTGTAAACTGACCACCCAAAGGACTGTAACAGACAGGGCAACATGGAGGTGGTTGACATAAGGAACTAGGCCTACCATACTGCTACACAATGTGGTGCATGTCCAGTCTATGAAAATTAGGTCAGCTTAGAGAAGTGGTTGGCTCGGCGCCTATAGCTCAACCGGCTAAGGCGCCAGCCACGTACACCTAAGGTGGCGGGTTCGAATCCCCAGCCCGGACCCGCCAAACAACGACGGTTGCAACCAAAAAATAGCCGGGCGCTGTGGCGGGCACCTGTAGTCCCAGCTACTTGGGAGGCTGAGGCAGGAGACTCGCTTGAGCCCAGGAGTTGGAGGTTGCTGTGAGCTGTAATGCCATGGCACTCTACCCAGGGGAACAGATTGAGGCTCTGTCTCAAAAAAAAAAAAAAAAGCGGTTGATGTAGGGAGGGTCAACTATGGAGGTTCTACTGTAATTTCAAAACGATGGCAAGAAGTGGCATTAAACATATTATTAAAAACCACTGATTTTTAACTTCCTATTGACACTTGATTTAAAAACCCCCCTCTATGTAAACTAAAGCCTGTAAATTATTTGTTTTACTCAAAGGACCCTTTGGAACACCATTTACAAATACATCTGTCCTTCCTGGGCTTATTCCACAGTACTTTTATAGACATGTGTACATTAGATATCCCATTGTTCTCTTGGGATTTAGATTATATTGGCCTTTACAAATAGTACAGTTAATCCAGCTACTTTCTGTCTTCCCTCCCCTTTTTGCTGTCACTTTCAGCATGTTTGCGCCACTGGGGAGACTGTCAAGCAGTTTCATCTGATATATTTTAGCACTGTACCCCAGCCTCCTCTCCAACTCAGTGTAGTTGTTTCCCATCAACTAATGCATGATATGATGGAAACATAAACTCTAGATTCTAAACCTCAAATTTCAAGTTCATCTTGGCTTGCTGAGATGCTCTAAGATACTCTAAATTCATTTTCTTTTTTGAGACAGAGTCTATGTCACCTTTGGTAGAGTGTCGTGCTGTCACAGCTCACAGCAACCTCAAACTCCTGGGTTTAAGCAATTATTTTGCCTCAGCCTCCCCAGTAGCTGGGACTACAGGTGCCCAAAGTGCCCAGCTATTTTTAGAGACAAGGTTTTACTCTGGCTCAGGCTGGTCTTGAACCCGTGAGCTCAGGCAATTTACGCCCCTTGGCCTCCCAAGTGTTAGGATTACAAGCACAAGCCACTGTGCCCGACCCTAAAATCATTTTCTTGTGAAAATGTTCATAGACAGCCTGGCTTATTTAGGCACTTAGAAAAAAACACCAAACCCAACTTCTTCCTTTTTTATTAGAAAGGCCTCTTGCCCATCTGCCCAGTAACTAACTCTGAAGGGGATGATTGCAGCCCAGCCCTTGTTCCTGTGAGGACCAAGAGGTCCTGCCATTGCAAATGTCCTGGCCCTGGGAATACAGAGCTTTGGATGGGGAGCCACCAAACTACAGTGATGCTGAGCTCCCTGTTGTGGGGATGGAGGAGTTAAAAGGGTGCAAGAAACCTCCCTCTCCACTGGGAGGAACTCATGGTTCCAGCTTCTCCTTTAGTCACCACCACCTGGGATTTACCTTCAGATTTCCAGCTTACTCAAACCCTATGGGTTGGGGCCAAATGCATGTTAACTCAATTTGGGGGAAAAAAGACCTAGTTCTTGAAAGCCCAAGGAAACGAATCAATTATAAAGAACAAAGAGTCAAGTACATGCCATATTTTCATACATAGCTTTTGTGTGTGTGTGTGAGACACTGCCTCTCTCTCTCATCCTGGCTAGATAGCAGTGGCACCATCAAAAGCTGACTGTAGCCTCAAACTTCTGAGATTAAGCAATCCTCCTGCCTCAGCCTCTGAAGCAGCTGGGACTACAGATGTGTACCACCATGCCTGGCTAATGTTTTCAAATTTTAGTAGAGACAGGTCTCACTCTTGCTCAGGTTGATCTTGAACTCCTGGCCTCGAGCAATCTTCCCACCTCTGCCTCCCAGAGTGCTAGGATTTTAGGCATGAGCCACTATACTCAGCCTCATATCTGGCTTTTTACCTAAGGACTAAAGTATTAGCTATGACATGTTTATAGTTAAACATTAACAATAAATAAACTGTAATAGAATACACAAACATTAGATAATTCAAATTTCCTTTGTAATGGCATGGAAGTACACTGAGAAATGTAAAGAAAGCACCATTAACAATTATCGGGGCTGGCCAACTGCTAGTGGGTATGGCTCTCTCAATTGGCAGGGTCAAGACCAAAGATGATCTCAAATATGAGCCAATTAGTTTTATAGGAATAAAACTTTCTTTTGGCCACAAATAACCCTTGACCACACGGCCATCAGTCTTACAAATGGATACCAATGGCTATCAGAAGAATTGTAGGTAGAAGATGGCTCAGTTTAATCCCTTACTAGTTTTTCCAAGTAAGGAACAGAGCTTTGATTTCCACTGTGATGGTGGTCACATGCACAGAGAACATAAATACACTCTTGTTCCTTAAGCCTGGAAAGAGGAGCTTTCGATAGCTATCTGAATTTTATCTTTGGAGGACTGTTAACTAGGATAATCATTAAAATGGAATCAAGTAGCTTGCCCTACACAGGCTGGGCATCCTAAATCTAAAAATCAAAAATGTGAAATACTCCTAAATCTGAAACTTTTTTTTTTTTGAGACAAAAGTCTTCACTTGGTCAACCTTGGTAGAGTGCCATGGCATCAGAGCTCACAGCAACTTCAAACTCTTGAGTTCAAGTGATCCTCTTGCCTCAGCCTCCCAAGAAGCTGGGACTATAGATGCCCACCACAACACCTGGCTTTTTTTAAAGAGATGAGGTCTCACTCTGGCTCAGGCTGGTCTCAAACCTGTGATCTCAGTCAATCCACCCACCTCAGTCTCCCAAGTGCTGGGATTACAGGCATGAGCCTCTGCACCCAGCCTAAATCCAAAACTTAAATTTGGAGTACAAACATGATATTGAAAAGAAATAACTCCTTGAAATATTTCAGATTTTTAGATTTGCAATGTGCAACCACCAACTATTCTATAAGTATTCCAAAATCTGAAAGAATCTAAAATTTGAAATACTTCTGGTCCCAAGCATTTCTAAGGGATGCTCTCAGCCTGTGTTACCTTATGGAAACAGAATTTAAGAAAAACAGTCATGTTCTTATTTTCAAAGAACTTAAGGAAACTGTGTACCTCTTCATAATTTGTGATCAGTAAATGTCCTAGGTGAGTGATTGGAAGGTCAACTTCTACTACAAAGTGGGAAATAATCCCAAATACTTTTATCTGGCTCTGGATCTAAATTTAGTTCTGGTAACAGCCACAGAGAAAGAAGAGGAAGGTGGTGTAGTACATAGCACTGTGGGGGCTAGAGAGTGATTTGGGTTGTCATTTACCACTCCCTGTTACCAGAGCTCACAGATAAAATGAAATGGCAAGGCCTAATTTCCCTTCGATTCACCTTTCCTTTAGGGATGATAAAAGTGTCATTTTCTTACCCCAGTCTATAAGTAGCTATTAGGCTATTTCCAAAATTTAAATATACTGGTATCCAAAAAGATCCCATGGTATGAAAAGAAAATACATTGAAAAAAACCTGTACTGAGACAGAGCCTGTGCAGGTGACATTTCTCACCCAGTTTCACCCAAAATAACTTCTCCCTGGAACTCTTGTAAAGTCTTTCTATTGATAAACTGAGCACTTGTTAAGAAATTTTTGCCCTATCCTAAAAGCCTTTAATCCATATTTAGGGTCTCCCAGCCACACCCACAACAATATGCTGCCCAAGGGTGTCAAAACCTATGACTTCATACCAGATTCCAAGATACAATAATCCAATTGGCCTGAATTGGAGAGGTTCTTCTAAGTTTCATTCCAAATGAATTATGTATTTGTTTAGGCTCAAAAACCTGAAAGCTAAAAAGGTTTCATAAACACTGTTATTTCATTATCCTTACTATCAAAGAATCTGTGTTTTGGATTGTTCACTGCATTAATGAGAAATGAAATTAAATTTATGCTCCTAAGAACTTCCTTTTGGGCATTTTGAATGAGAGTCTAGTTCTCCCCAGATACAGTCTGAGCGCATAGGCCACCAAGAATGAAATTTTCAATAACCTCTAATGAGCATCCCATTAGTGCCTACTTTTAGAAGATTGTTTCCTTTTAAATTTGGTCCCATTGCTACTAAGCAATTTGCCTGGTATAAAACAAAACAAAGCAAACAAAATCCAAGAACAAAGTTTTAAGGACAAGGACTGCTTTGCTAAACACAGGGCAAAAAGAGTCCTGACTTCCTTTCCTGCTTTTGCAGTTATGCAAAGACTCAGTAAACAGCACCAGATCCAAATTATTCAAGTTACCAGGCTGTTGCAAAGCTGGTAGCTTAAACACCAGTGAGTACTTCTTCATCCCCTGCCAGATGCATGGACTTATTGGAAAAGACACGTTAATTATGGGAGAAAGGAAAAAGATAGGGAGAAGCATATCTCCTACTTGGGCCAAGACATATCATGGGGAGGCTGGGAAGGGCTAGCTGTGGACATCCCAGATTAAGAGAGCTCCAATGAGAGGTGGACCCCACAGGTGGCCCTAATCCTGAAAGTCATTAGAAGCCATCTGAGAAAGTGGGGCATTTAGCCGATCAAGTTCATCAACTTGGGGCGGGTGATGCATTAGTATCTCTTGGTCCTCTAAGACATCCTCACCAGCAGCTACCAGATTGGTGAGGGACTTGCTTCGAACACACTGGAAATCTACATGGCGACTCTTTCCTTCTTCCTTTTCCCATGACATCTGGATAAAGGGACGTTGTACGTAATTATAGATGACTTCAGACCGGCCACCAGGTCTTCTCTTAATTTTTTCTTTACAGGTGGGATAACCTGAAGCAGAGAAAAAGGCCATTCTCATGACTGCTGGCAGATTGTGCTCTCTCTGGTGTCCCTCTTAACCACAATTTTCTCCCAAATCCACAGACACCATGAAAAAAATGTAAGAAGTGTCCAAACCCTGCCCCATGTTTTCCCGGCCCCAACCACCTACATGCTTGTTTCCCTCTTGCTCAGGTTAATAGGTCTTTTCCGTAGAAGAGACTAAGAGAAGGAATAAGAATTCTATCCCTTCTAAAGGAAGGGAAAAAGAAGCCTTTTACTCCAGAGTCTTTAGTTGCTGGCAACAAATTCACAGGACAAAAAATCTGCCCGGGCACAGCTACTTCAGTCATCTTAATTCTGCTGCTTAGAGGGCATACTATGTCAAAATAGAAAGAAATATGGAAATGTTCAGCCTAAAGAAAAAACAGATGCTGCCTAAAATACCTGAAAGGTTGGCTTGGCGCCTGTGGCTCAAGGGGCACCAGCCACGTATATCTGAGCTGGCGGGTTCAAACCCAGCCCAGACCTGCCAGACAACAATGACAGCTGCAGCCAAAAAATGGCTGGGCACTGTGGCGGGTGCCTGTAATCCCAGCTACTAGGGAGGCAGAGGCAGGAGAAAATTGCTTGAGCCCAGGAGTTGGAGGTTGCTATTAACTGTGATGCTACGGCACTCTACCCAGGGTGCTTGAGGCTCTGTCTCCAAAAAAAAAAAAAAAAAAAAAAAAAACCTAAAAGGCTGTCACATGGCAATGGGAGAAATCTTATTCAGAGTAACTTCAGAGGCTACAACTAGAAGGCAGGTGGGAGGCAGTTTCCATCAGAGGTATGGAAGACAGTTCTGATCTCTATTACTATATATCCCTTGGGGTTCCCAAGAGATAAGGGAAAGACATAGGGAAAGGAGGTTCAATAATCTCAAAATTTTCCTCCCACTTTAAATTTCAGCTTAAGTCAGACACAATTAAGGTTTGATGAGTTCTGTGAGAAGAAGTGAGACAGCCAAGAGTAATAAAGCACAAAGTCAAAGATCCATGGAGGGGAGACCAGGATGGCTTCAGTACTCTCTTAAGAATAAGTCTCTAGGGCCAGGCATGGTGGCTCATGCCCGTAATCCCAGTACTCTGGGAGGCCAAGGCAGGTGGACTGCCTAAGCTCACAGGTTTGAGACCAGCCTGAGCAAGAGTGAGACCTTGTGTCTAAAAATAGCCAGGGATGGTAGCAGGTGCCAGTAGTCCCAGCTACTGGGGAGGATGAGGCAAGAGAACTGCTTTAGTCCAAGAGTTCAAGGTTGCTGTGAGTGATGACAACATGGCACTCTACCGAGGGTGACAAAGTGAGACTCTGTAGCAAAAAATAAAAAATAAAAAAATCTGTCTCTAAGTCCCTCCCATGGGACCCACAGGTTGTGAGCCATTCCTCAAGATCATTTAATGCAGTTTTGTCAATATATCCCCAGACATTCTTCAAAGGTATGGAATAATCTTAAATTTTGAGTCCCCCAAGCTATATTTTTCAGAAGGACCCTTCCAGATCCAAGAAACTTCCTCATGAAGATTGTTGGCAGAATGATCCTACCACTTGGTGAGCCCCAAACACCATCCTACATCTATCCACCAGTGTCCTTTGTCCTCACTGTTCTTTAACCTGAAGTACTAATAAACTTGAACCTAATCCTGTGGCTATGAAAAGGGAACTATGAGGATACAGACAAAGTAGGAATTCTTCACATTTGAATAGGAATGTGATTTTCACATATGCCTGTTCTCTAGGCACTCTGGAAGCTCAATTTCTAACTTATGTTTATGGTTAAACATGCAAAGTGAATTCTGACTGAGATTATTTTTTTACCTTCAATTCCAATGCGAATGTTTTTCAGGCCCCGTTCCTTTAACACTGTTTTTGCAACATCTCGATTTTCAATATATTTGAAGAATCTGTAGAGCTTGGAGCTATAAAGAACTGAAAAAGAAAAAAATTAAGGTTAGTCATGGAGTGAAGACCTTTATAAGAAGGAGGCAATAAGCTAACAATCAAACTAATGGAAATGACCTCTCATGTCAAAATAATCCAGATGCATCAAAGGTTAAGTGTTAAATAGTAACATAAACCATAAGAGAAATTTTAAAATCTCACTGTGGAAAAGGCCATTCTGGGTAGGACATAAAACCTACAAGCCATAAAAGAAAAACTTGGCTTGGCACCCACTGCTCAGCAGTTAGGGTGCCGGCCACATATACCGGGGCCCCAGCCTGCTAAACGACGACAATTACGACAACAACAAAAATAGCCAGGCATTGTGGCAGGCACCTGGAGTCCCAGCTACTTGGAAGGCTGAGGCTACAGAATCACTTAAACCCAAGAGTTTGAGGTTGCTGTGAGCTGTGATGCCATAGTGCTCTACTGAGGATGACAAAGTGAGACAATGTCTCAAAAAGAAAAAAAAAAAAAATAGAAAGAGAAACACTGATGACTATATAGAAATTACATCTCTGCATAGCCCAAATCACCATTTAACAACAAGACAGGCTGAATGCCTGTAGCTCAGCGGCTAAGGCACCAGCCACATACACCAGAGCTGGCAGGTTTGAATCCAGCCTAGGCCTGCCAAACAACAATGACAACTACAACCAAAAAAAAAATAAATAGCCAGGCATTGTGGCAGGCGCCTGTAGTCCCAGCTACTTGGGAGGCTGAGGCAAGAAAATCATGTAAGCCCAAGAGTTTGAGGTTGCTGTGAGCTGTGACACCATTGTACTCTACCCAGGGCGATACAGTAAGACTCTGTCTGAAACGCTCCCCCCCCAAAACCAAAGATAACCAAATGGGAAAGATATTTGTAACTCATATTACAAAGAGCTAATTTCCTTAACATTAAGAAAGACCTGTCACAAATAGAGAACACATCACTAAGTAAAAGACTAATAATCCAATTTTGTAATGGGCAAAAGGCAAAAACAGTGGGGGGTGGGGTCTTTCTTTGAAACACAATCTCACTCTGTTACCCCAGGCTAGAGTACATGCCATCAGCCTAGCTCACAGCAACCTCAAATTCCTGGGTTCAAGTAAGTGATCCTCCTGCCTCAGCTTCCCAAGTACCTGGGACAACAGGCAATGCCTGGGTGATTTTTTTTCTATCTTTAGTAGAGATGGAGTGAGGGGCTTTACTCTTGCCTAGGCTGGTCTCAAACTCTTGAGCTGAAGGAATCTTCCCACCTTAGCCTCTCAGAGTGCTAGGATTATAGGTGTGAGCCACTATGCTGGTCCACAAATAGTGTTAACAGAAAAGGAAATTAGAATGGCTCTTAAAAATTAAAAAGATGCGGCGCCTATAGCTCAACTGGCTAAGGCGCCAGCCAC